TTTATTTCTGCTAAGGTTGGTTCGCTGTCCAACTCTTCCAAAACAGGCAGGCACTCAATGTTATTTAATGCTTCTTCGGTTACTACATTCTCTCTGGAATATAGCTCAGGGTAGTGCTGCACCCAGTGGTCCATCTGCTGTGCTCTGTCCTGGCTGATCACGCCTGTAGCAGACTTCAAGGGAGCAGATTTCTTCTGTATTGGACCTAAAGCTTGCTTGATATCATCATACATTCCCTTGATGTTACCTTTGTCCGCTGCTATCTGTATCTGAGAGCAGAGCTGAAGCCAATAATTGTTGAAACATCTCCTGGCAGCCTGTTGGATTTGGCTACGAGCAGCTCGAAGAGCTTGCAAGTTGTATATACTAGGACAGGCTTTGTATGCTGCTAGAGCTCTCCTCTTATCCTCAATGGCTGGCATCAACTCCTCCAAATGGGCTTTGAAGCAGTTGGCCGTCTTTTTGGTCTTCTTGCCAAGTGTGGACAAAGCGGTGTTATACACAGCGTTCTTGAAATGTTCCCATCGTTCAGGTGCATTTGCATCAGCCGGGCCTGGAAAGGTTTCCTCAAGTGCTTGGGCAAATTCCTCCACTTTTCTTTGATCATGAGTCTTGCTGATGTCAGTATGTGGTCTTCCTTCCTTTTTCGTGCGATACAATCTCTTTGTTCGCAGTTTTACTCTACTACACACTAGGGAGTGATCAGTATTGCAATCAGCACTCTGGTAACTGTGTGATCGTAATGGCAGGAAGGCTCGAACGTATAGTGAGGATCAAATCAAGCTGATGCCAATGCTTGGATCTTGGACCATTTTCGTTCATCTTTCCAATGCCAAAACGGCCTAGACAAGTGGGCCAAGAAAACTGTGATCAGCACCAACTGTAGTGTTAAACTCTCTGAGAATGAACAGTGGCTCTTGAGAATGGACAGTGGCTCTCTTTCAGGGACATTTTTGATAGTAGCTGCCAGATCGTCGTAGAATTTCTCTTTCACTTCTGTAATGGATGACAGTGTTGGTGCATATGCACTAATGCGGGTGTCTGGTCCTGCTGATGAGTGGAGCTGCAGAGAATGGATCTCAGAAGAGTATTCATGACTGCGGAGCCAACACCATAGTCCCTGGTCTCATTCAATGGTTTTCCCTGCCAGAAGAATGAGAGGTTTTTTCTCTGACAGATCCGGAGTCTGGCAATCTCGTCTCTTGCAGGGCAACAGTGTCCATCTGCAGTCTACTCAGTTCCATGTCGATGGCAGCTGTCTTGCGCACATCATCTATTTCCTGCAAGTTGTCAGAAAAGCCGTAGTCAGAAAAGCCA